CTTAATCCTACCGAAAATAGAACAAGTCACGTCATAAAATACAGGTTAAAATTAGCGAATCACATTTTTAGAGCTGTCTCACGCGACCATCCCTATTGAACAGAAGAAACAGCAGGTAATAGTCATCTAGCCCAGATATCTTGACTAAAAGACACCCTGCATATAATATTTTCCTCTTCATTACGCAAGTCTTTACCTATCGTGTAAACTGAATAAATATATCAAGTTCTGAATTTCTAAGCACCACCGATATTTTATATTATGCCAATGATATCTTAGTAATTACAGCTTTTAATGATTCGTACCGTTTATTGCTTTCCCCCTTAGTCACTTTTACGAGGGTATGAAAATAAGAGCAAAGAGCAAGCGGCACACAAAGCAGTGCCCGAGTGGAATGGAATGGTGTTCAGTTTAGGATCGAACATGAATAGACATTGTGAGAGAAGGCAAGAGAGGTAGACGAAGAAAAAGCAAAAGGAGAAGGAGAAAGAGAAGTCGAAGGAGAGGTAAAGAAAAAGGAGAAAGGTTGCCATGAGTTCCACGACACGCGACACGCGGCAGTGCGGGGACTGCGACAGATCAGGCAGCAAAGTAAAAAGAAAACACGTTTCCAGAAAATACCAGTCAAAACGATTAGACGTCAACAGAAGCAGAAAAGAAAAACAACATGCAGGCTGTCTCAGAAATGTGGGCAAACTGCATTTGCTTAACTAGCAGTTAGTGGACACTTGTTGCATGCAGGAAACGCCCCTAGTTTAGTCCGTAGCGAAACAATATGAAGACAAAGAGCCCCCAGCCTGTGACCTATCTATAAAAGGCGAATCGGAAGGGGGGTTGAGCTGGGGGGCGTCTGTGTGAAGATACTGCACTCCACTTGTCAGCAATCTGAGAGTGCGTTGCCAACAGGTAGTTGCAGTAAGCATGAGCAGCAGCTTCTAAAACCACCTGCTGACTGTACCACAGTGGATCCGACAGATTCAATTACAGAGAAAGTGTAACAGGTTGTTGCTTTTTTGCACCAGCTACAAAAAAGGGTTCCAAATTACCATTACCTTCGAATTCATTTCATAGGAATTTCGTTTTTGTCGAAACTCGAATGTTATTAACATTGATAATATAGTATCGAATTGACTTTAGCATTCACGCGTTTCCCGTAATTACAGTTCCTTTGTGTGTGATAATATTTGTCCGATTTGCATGTGGTAAAAGTAACAAGTGAGAACGTTGCGTAACCGACTCTAGAATACTCTGATACCAATGCTGTGCCTCGCCCACTGATAAATCATTAATGTGCTATCAAATTGTATGACTCTAGGTTTGAAATTTTGTAAGATAAGCAATCGAATGCTCAAATCGTCTCAATACTTACTGCAGGCGGACTTACTTAATTTTTTGTAATCATGTAAAAAGAATTTGCTCCAATTGAACTGCTCTAAATGAAAGGTCATGTAATTTTATCAGAAGTCTCCTCCCCAGGTTGTTAGTTAGACGCTCGACGGGATGCCACTTTATTGATTGACTGAAGTGAATGATTTAGGTTCACTTCTTGACCATAAACTAAAATTCGATAATCATATTCAACTCACAGCCAAAATGCTTTCCAAGTGCTTGGTTTTATTAAGCGTTGGTCACAGAAATGTAATGAAGCTTTTATGCTTTTCACTTCTCTTCTACGTCCACTTTTGGAATACGGACATAACTGAGGTGTTATGCCTAGACTGCAATGCATAGACTGTTCCGTATCAAACTTCCCTCCTTAACTAATGATCGTGTTATGCAAGATTTTATGCTTGTAGTTAAATTACTAAATTGGGAAATCGATTCCGTTGCGTTGATGAGCCAAATTAATGATTCTGTTCCCTCTAGACTGTCGCGTTACTGCTTCCCATTTTTTGTTAATCGTTGTGCTACTAATTATTCCTTGCATGAACTCTGTAATGATCACAATTCAGAGTCCTCTGTTTCTGTCATTAAGAACTCAATTTTAAACATTTATCGTTTTTCTAGTCAACCAGTGGACGCATCACCAACATTTAAATAGTTTGTTTTTCGGTAGCGTAGACAAAATCGAATATAAATCGTGTACCATTGGTTATGCTATGAAAGGGTTAAGTGAGAGTGTTCTATCCGAGAATGCACGACTAACCGACGCCCGGTAGCCAACTTTGAATCGTCTAACATAAATTTGTAGTTATTTATACACGCAAAGATGATTTTGCGATTTATCCAATACTAAATTCCCTTTTATTGCTTCATTAAAAATATCTGTGCTTAATTTATGATTTATATGAAATAGGCAACGCATTGAAGGAGACCTCTCCGACCCCATAAAGTATTTAGATTCTTGATCAGCTTCACTACCTGAGTCGATATAGCCTTTTGCGTCTGTGTATCTGTCTGAATATTTTTCATTTATATGAGAAAAAGTCCATCAATTTAAAAGCAATCTTGAAAAAAATGGTATACAACCGGTCGAAAGATTTTAAATTCATATATAGAACGATTCTTCCCATGTTGTGGCATAAATAAATACCAATAATATATCTAAACAAGAAAGAACGTCGTGACACAACAAAACAAATAAATAAAATTTGTTTAAAACGTAATAATATAAACTCTGAATTAAAATGTCAGCAGATTAACTGTGGACTCCGAGTATGTCTCTCTTTGGCGTACCTAATTTGGCTGTTCTGATACATACGTTCTGTATATATTTTTATTTGTATTTTCCAATTTTGTGGGGAACTTTTGCGAAAGGTAAACATATTTACGCTCTTGATATTAACTTAAACAAAAGAAAAAACTATTGAAAGTAGCTATCAAGATAGAAACGAGCACTTTGGAGACATCTACTCATTTTAAGAGGGAGCCCAGAGCTTGGCTTACAATTTTTTGATGATTAGTATTTGAACATCCGTTTTTAATTTAAACATCTACTGTGCCATGGATTTATCATGCAATAATACATATGTAAGGAGCACTATCGAAAGAAAATGCAAATGTATATTTTGTATATAGATGTGTTGCTTCAAAGTTCATAATTCCCCCCTAGGCGAACGAGCGCTGCGAGAGATTGGGGTCTTCCCCTTGGTTGCAAAAGCAACAACAAATATATACATATAAAAGTGTATACCAGACATTGGATAGATAGTGAAATCCAAACGTATATTAAATTTCACAAATTATTATTTTTTAATTGTATCAAAACCAAACCGGTAGAAATTCATTTTACTGTTCTGCTCTTGTATAAATATAATTTGTACGTCTTTGTTTCTTCTGTATTTAATTCCTGAAATTTGGCCACTTAGACATTGACTATTTGTTGCTATTACTGGGCACCAATCTTATCTTCAATTTATTCGAAGTGCTCCGAGGCGTATCTGAAAACGAATTATAACTTTACATGTTATCAGCTTATAAACTGAAGTAAATTGTTTTTTTTGTGAAATGCTATTTAAACCGACTAACCCACTTTTAAAAACTTTATAATGTAACCAAAACGAAAACCAATAAATTAAGCGAACGCAAATTTGTGAGTCGGTTTCAAAATCTTATGAAAATGATTTAAAAATATTATCTTGTTAGATAATTTCAATGTACAAATACAAAGTTCAGACATCGCTTCCAAAAAGAAAATTGCGTTTCCTGTGCTAAAAATGTATCACGAGAAAAGAAATATATATTTATGTACACTAAATAAATACATATACACCCATTTCGCATTGACTTCTGTGTTCGTCAATTGTTTTGGGTTCCACAAAAAGTGCGTCATTGCCAACCACGTGAACAAGATCATTTGGAGATCTTAAGGTATAAATACATAAACAATTGAACGGAACAATTGTCTTAGCAATTTATAAATAGCGCATCTTTAACCTTGAGTTATAATGCTCATAATTCTTCAAAAATGTTATAATATATATGTGTATATTAGACAATATTTAAAAAAGCTTCAGGTAAGTTCAACGGGAAAAATAAGCTTAATTATCAGATACCATTTAAAACCTTGGCAAGTTCAAGAATTTGCTTAAGCCAAACGAAAATGGTATTTTGCCGAACCAAATCATGCGGTATTACGACTTTGGGTAGTCAGGTGGTTGCCAGACACAAATAATTAGCGGCATTTATTTATATATCAGATAAGGTAAAGATTGTTATTGCTGTAAGACAGTGCGAAAAAAACGACGTCATCGAGCAAGGTTTCGTAACAATAAGATAATATTTGGGTGAATTCATGGGATTCTCTAAGTGCTAGATAAAATTTGCGTTCTACGTAGCCGATAAGCCAACTGATGAAATCATAATTTGTGTAAATGAAAATCGTTGTGTTTCTTCCAACAGCTGTCTGGGCCAAGATAAAAGTATATACTAACTGCTGTATGTGAGCTTGAAATAAGCTTTAGCAGTAAGATATTAATGAGCTTGAAGAACACATGGCGTCCCAGAGAGAAAGTTGTTAAGTCGCATTTTACGAACATATATATAATATTATATATATATATGATATATATAATTTCTACAATACTATATATACATACGACCAAAAGATACACCTGAGCAACTAAGAAAAAACTAAAAAAATAGCATGAAGAGAGAGAGAGAGAGAGAGAGAGAGAAACTGTAGGTCTTTATAATTTAAAAAAACAATTAAGTTAACTTAAACATAAACTTATCAATTTCTTTGTGATTTTTTAAGATTGTGCCATGTTTAGTGAGATCTTTTTGAATTTAACCAACCGTTTAGCTGCTTCCAGGTCAATGACCTACCACATCCCGACAGTAAGATATTCGGATTAAATATTAAATAAACATTGTACACTACATATATTACAAAATAACTAAAACTGATTTATATCTGTTTGCACTCGTTAGGTTCCTCAAGGGGCTTGTCAGTGCCTAATGACCCAACAAAGCGAAGCAAACAACACAAACTTGGCCTCAAGGTCGCTGGGGAATCGTTAAGTGAATTGTTGCCCACAGGAAATTCCAATTACGCTTACCATTTTGGTAGTCTCCTTAGCCATGGCTATGTTTGTATGTGTGCAGTGCTATTTGTTCGTCTATATGTAAGTATTCAAAATATTTTCGCACAAATTATTTCATAATTTTCACTTTCTATTTGTAGCACTGCGGATATGTCCGCCGACGACTTCTTTGGTCTAGGCAACTTTCTGTTGTATTCTGCGACGTTCGATGTCAACTTAACGAATGAGTCTCCCAACAAGTCTTTTTAGGTTCTTCTTCGTATTAAGTTGTCGAGGGCGAAGGCAAATCTCCGATAAGCGTATTTGCTCAGAGTGTAAAAAATAGCGCTGCCCGCCAATTTGTGTGTGTGTGAGCGAGAGAGGAAGAGGTAGGGAGAGAGAGAGCGAGCGAGAGAGAGAGAACTGAAAGGGGGAGAGAGAGAGAGCGCGAGAGTAAAAAGGCATAAGAAGAAGAAAAACGGTGGGTGTGTGCGAGTTTAGTTGTGATTGTGGAATTGTGGATACTAGCATTTTGTGTATTGCCATTGACCTTATCTTTAAAAAAGCCACATGACCTTAAACTATCCTTTCTGTTTCCATGCCGACCTTTTTTTAGTCGCTTCGCAATACGTGTGCTTTTGTGCTTTTTTAAGGCCCGATGTAAAATCATTCATAAAAATGATTAACAGTGGGAAGTGACGTAACATGATGTGAGGTATTTTGTCGACGTGTGGGTTGGGCGATTTTGTGATAGGTGTAAATATTTTTCGCACACAAAGCGGCAAGTGGGAGAATACCATTTGTATGAGACTCGAAACTTTACAATATTATTATTAGTAATAATATTTTTTCTAAATATTTTTCTAAGATGTTGATTAAATTTGGTAGTTGACCAATGCAGTAAAACAACATATTATTTAATAATTTCTTAATTTTAAGTCATATTGCCAAATGAGAATGCAATTTCAATTTGTCTCATTTAAAAATACTCCAATTGTTTCAAAATTCGCTAATTTCTAGTTAGTCGTATTTTATTGTGATCCGATAATAGCGTCTCCACTTTATATAAAGTTATTTATAAATAAATATGTATGTCACATTTCACGAAATCAGGTTTTAATCTTTGAATAGTTTACATAAGAGCAGCGTACAGACAAGATTGCCATTTCAAAATACATTTGTACATACATATACACATACATGTATTTTTTACGGGGTCGCAAATGTCAAATTTGGTGCCTTATTCGCAGTTCGCTACAAAATGTGCTCATTGGATTTGAGCAGAAATTTAACAATGTCGGACTACCGTGTACAATAGTTGTATAACAAAGATAAGATATCTATGATATCACAACTCCGTTCATTATTGTTATACTGCGTTCAGTTTTTTTTTTTCAGTTAGCTCTCCGTCAAGTCTATAGTGGCATCCTATGTGTTTCAAGCGCTCATTTAAATAATTTTTCCACACTGTACTATGCTTCGTTGAGTTGATTTTTTTCACGAACCCATAACAACTTTGTTACTCAATCAGCTATAGTCAAGTTTATAATGGCGCCCTCTATGTTTCGTATACTTGGTTCTGTTTTCCAGACTGTAGATGGGGTAAGCTCAAGTTGTATGATTAAAATATTGTCATAAAATAAACTAATGCTAACATCTAAATGTCTATAATTCAACATAAGAAATTGATAAATTAGATTTACCGTTGTAGTGAGACTTTTATTAGAGATATTTGCCAAAAATAATTTGAAAAAAAGCCAAAAAGGCAAATCAATTTTGTTTTGTGTTGGCAATTAGAATACGTATTCAAAAATTAGCAATACACCTTAGTTGAAATTTTCACATTTGTTGTTTTTTTGAATTAAATTAATTGCAAATTAAAATTACTCTCTGCGACTTTGCTTATCTGATTTGAAGATGATCTTAAATATGAGAAGCTTGTTCCTTAGTTTCAGCTTAGATTAGATTAGACGCTGTTGGAGAGGACTTTTCCGGCAATGTTTCACCAGAGAGCTACTCGCCGAAAACTTCAATATGTTCTTCCATCACTTTTGAGGCATCGTTGGGGCATCTGGAGATGGCAAGGAAATTATTTCATCCTCATAAACTGTAGCATAAAGGGATTCTTTATCTATCAGTGTGTGTACAGAGTATAACAAATTAACCCTAGTACACTACCTGAGGAACTCCAGCCAAATCGGAGTGTTCATCGCCACATCGACCATAGAAAATTCACGTTTCCAGGTATAAAATGATCTCAATACTAACTTGCATAAGAATCTTGGATTGGAAATTCAATTTTGAAACGCGCATCGCGGAAATACCTTTCCTGTTTCGGGTTTAATGTTATTACCACTTTCTGCAATGTCATTATCATCATCATCATTTCATGATCACGAACAATAACGTTGCCGTTAACATCCATTCCAGTTTTGTATACCTAAGCTGAAGAGAGTATGATAAAGTCCTGCAAATGTGACCAACAGGCGACAGAGGGAAATATTTCGATTAAGCCATGTCTCCATCTGTGTCGATCTCAAAGATTATAAAAGCTAGTGTAACTAAATTGAGAACCCAGAACGAGACTAGATGAATTTATTGTTTGTTTGCAGTTCGCTGTTCCACTTAGGCTTATGTGGTTTAATGATAGAGCGTATCTACTAGTCGAGCGCTCTCGACTATCTGTTTTGTAGAAACTCGCAAGCCAGAATTCAACCCTACAAACAAATAATAAAAAACCGCTGCAGTTGCGCGCTGCTGTCGGGCGACGACGATGATGATGATGATGATGATGCAAGAGTAGAGAGAGAGAAGCGGAGCAGCCTGCGCGACTGCCTCATTGTTCTGAAAAGCTGACGCTTCGTCGATTGGGCAAGGAGGATAACGAACTCTCGGCCAGGAGCAGTCAGTCAACCCATTCCATTTCCCCCGATTTCCATTCCCTTTCGCATTCGCATTCGCATTCCATTCATTCAGGGCATGCAATCAGTCGCAGTTGCAGTCGCAGTCGCAGTCGACTTCATCGTCGACCTCTTCGCCGCCTCGTCTATCCTTTTCACGGCATTGAATTTCCCCCTTTTTCGATATTGCGCTTTGTTTTTGTTTCGCCCGCCTCACTCAATGCAGGGATTTTGCAGCGTTCAGCTTTACCCTAAACGCATGTACCAATAGGGTATGTTCGACTAGAGCGAGAGTCAGAAACAAGTATTCTTATATTCAAATTGCATAAATATAAAAAAGCATACTCTATTAAAATCATGTTTTCAGTCTGAAAAGTTCTCGATGTCGTCTGAATCAAAGTGTTCATTTTTGCGTAAATTTCTATGCGGAAATTTGTTTACAGGATACCCTAAAGTCGAATCATAACTTGAATATATTACATTTGCTTTGTTTGATGTTTTTTGACGTACAGCTGCTTTGGTTTTACGCATTGTCGTGATTTCTGTTCTTGTAAGTTGATCGCCTCTTGATGATGCAGGCAAATCCTTTTAAGATTCTAAAATCCTTTAAATCGAAGGTTTGGTATAGGTGTTGATTGGTTCTTCGGTAGCTCTTCTGCGGGCAAGTCAAAAATCAAAAGTACGTAAATAGCTATCTACAGTTTCAGTTTCAATTTCAGATATTCAGCTCTGCTACTATCTGATGGTTGTACGCTTGTCCTGAGCTGTTTTCGCACATCGATCCGAGTCTGGAAATGTGCACAAGCCGTAAGTAATTGCTGGGATATGCGTGCAAACATTTTAGGTTTTTGCCCAAAAAATCGTAACCTTTTTTTGTGATTGCTATTGTTGCTGTGCTCATCGAACTTACCCCTCGTGTTTGTAATTAAAAAAATTTCGGGTTCAATGTGCAAAGGGATAGCCCTTCTAGATGAGGAGCGTGATTCCTCATATTCCTGTTGATGTGTATACGCCAAGAGAAATTTTAATATATTTGCTTGTGTTCACAAGTGTTAGTAGAAATTCTGATAATATATTATGTTGGGTGTTGTTATATTATTTCGAAGATCGAACAACATTGCGAACTTAGAATATTTATTCTATTAGTGGTTGTTATTTCACTCTTGAGATACTTCTATTGTCGACTCTAAGTTGACAATAAGGGAGAACAAAGTTGCCCCTATTTCCTTTTAGATTCATGTAAACAATGCGCAAAGGACTTTTTTCTTTTCCTTGATATCTTACCTGGCTTGAGTATCTCATACAACAGTTCATTCACCTTAGAAAATGACAATAATAATAATAAGATGTCAAAGCGATGTTAATACGAATCTGAATTGTAATATGAAGGAAATTTAATGAGCTCAAAATTAGTTTACTCTTATAATCAAATGGAAATAATATTGAAGTTAAAACAACAATATTCTAAGGATTAATAATTTACAAAGAGAACATGTTTTGTTAACCTCCCGGCTGTCAAAAGGTAAGCTTTCTTATCTTCTTCCTAATAATATAACATAATATAATTTTTATTCATTTCAATATAAGCTATAGTTAATTTCTAATTCATTCTAGTATATTTATACAATCTTATTGGATTGGATTGTAATTAAAAAAAAATTAATACACATTAAAAAAAGCCAAGAGTTTTATTTCAGAAACTTCAATAGCAGATATGCAAAAAAAAGAATTGAAAAAGAATAAAAACCGGAATGAAGTAAAACAGAAACATCAGCCAAATGCGCGCCAAATAAAAAACTCAGAAGGAAACAAAAGGCGCAGACGACGAAGAGATGGAAAGAACAGAGCGGATTAATCTGCAAGATTCTCTAGGACTCCCAAGGAAATTCGAGTGTGTGTGCGAGTGTGTGTCTGTGTGTTTGTGGAAATGAGTCAAAAGGTGTGTCAATAAGGCGTCACGAAGAGAATCTCAGTCACAGGCTGGCGGATTATTGTGCAAGGACAACATCATGATCATTATGGGTTGATAATAATGACGATATCTCATTGTATACTATTCGCGTGTGTGTGCGTTTGTGTGTGTGTGTGTGCAATTTGCAGGCGCGCAAACACACACAATAGGGAGAGCAGGCCAAATTCGAAAACCTCGGAGAAGAAACGTCGCGCTGGGCTGACAACCCGTTTTTTAAGGTTCCCAAAGGGGATGATGTTCCTTTTTTTCCATAGTATAAAGCGAAATTCGTTTCACCCCTTTGTACAAATAAAAAAGAGGCGAGAGGCGATCGCTTCAAACTTTTATTTTTAGCGCGCGAGTTGCAGCATCGCATTTTTAAAAAAAAAATTCAAAGCA